CATTTATTGTGTTATTCATCATTTGTTTGCTCTTTAGTTCTTCTAGGTCCTTGTTAAACGTTTCTTGAATTTTCTTCATTCTATTTCTTAGATTTTGGATCATCTTTACTATCATTACTCTGAATTCTTTTTCAGGTAGACTGTCTATTTCCTCTTCATTTGTTTGGTCTGGTGGGTAAAAACCTTCCTCCTTCACCTGCTGCATAGTCCTCTGTTTTCTCATTTTGTTTAACTTACTGTGTTTGGGTTCTCCTTTTCCCAGCCTGCAGGTTTGTAGCTCCTCTTATTTCTGGTGTCTGCCCCAGTTGGTGAGGTTGGTTTACTGGTTTGTGTAGGCTACCTGGCAGGGTGGGACTGGTGCCTGTGTTCTGGTGGGTGGGGCTGGATCTTGTCCATCTGGTAGGCAAGGCCACATCTGGTGGTGTGTTTTGGGGTGTCTGTGATCTTAGTATAACTTTAGGCAGCCTCTCTGCTAATGGGTGGGGTTGTGTTCCTGTCTTGCTAGTTTGGCATAGAGCATTCAGCACTGAAGCTTGCTGCCCATTGGGTGGAGTTGGGTCTTAGCATTGAGATGGAGATCTTTGGGAGAGCTCTTGCTGATTAATATTACATGGGGCAGGGAGGTCTCTGGTCATCCAATGTCCTGGACTCAGCTCTCCCACCTTGGTAGCTCAGGCCTGACACCCGGCCAGAGCACCAAGACCCTCCCAGCTGCATGGTCGCTTCTTATGTCAAAGTCTGCATGAGACCATTGCAAAGTCCACAGGCCTCTGCATGACCCAAGCACCTCTCACTACCAGCGCAGTCACGTTGGCATGCACCACCCAGTAATTAAAACTGGAGCTGCCATTTTAATGGCTTTTGATATTAATTGCCAGACTGCCCTCCAGAAAGCTCACAACAATTTGCATTAATACCAAATTTATACAGGAGTGTGTATTACTTTGCCATCTCCATTATGGTAGTGAGAGTTAACATATTTTCAAATAGTTTCCAATTTAATGGGTGAAAAATGTCATATCTCTGTTGCTTTTATTTATTTTTCATTTTTTTTTAAACAGTCCTGATCTTTTTAATTAATTTATTTTACTTATTTATTTTTGGCTATGTTGGGTCTTCATTGCTGTGCGCAGGCTTTCTCTAGCTGCGGTGAGCCAGGGCTACTCTTCGTTGTGGTGTGCGGGCCGCTCGTTGCAGTGGCTTCTCTTGTTGTGGAGCATGGGCTCTTGGGTGCGCGGGCTTCAGTAGTTGTGGAGCATAGCATCAGTAGTTGTGGCTTGTGGGCTCTAGAGTGCAGGCTCAGTCACTGTGGTGCAGGGGCTTTGTTGCTCCGCGGCATGTGGATCTTCCTTGACCAGGGCTCGAATCCATGTCCCCTGCATTTGCAGGCGGATTCTTAACCACTGCATCACCAGGGAAGCCCTCTGTTGCTTTAATTTGCATTTAATTGGTGAGGTTGAACTTTGCTTTTCCACACAGAAGGACTGCTTTTATCTCACAGTTTATATAGTTTCCATCCATGTTCTTCCTCCATTTTTCTGTTGTGTGATTATCTTTTTAAAAATTAATCGGTGAGTGCTTTGCACATCTGCAGTTTATTAACTCTTGGTAATATATACTCCAAATACTTTGCTCAGTTTTTAGTGAGCTTTTAATTTTGCTTACAGAATTTTTTTTGACATGTAGGTTTTATGTTTTGCAGCCAGCCTGTCATCTTTTCCTCTCTAGTTTTGTGTCAGAGATGCTTAACTGTTTCTGTGCCATGGACCACTCTGACAGTCTAGTGAAACCCATGGATGTTTTTCTCAGACTAATATTGTAAATACCTAAAACAAAATAGAGAGGATTACAAAGAGAAACAATTATACTGCAATCTAGTTATCAAGATGATAAAAACCAAATTTGTGATACAGTAACATATATACAAAAAGATCTAGCAGCAGGTCTCACATGCACTGCGGTCTTGCAGTAGTGATGAATGCAAATGATATTTCAAGGTATTAGAACTCTGTAATATGATATGAAAAAATATGTAATTTCTGTGGTACTTGCTTTGCTGCCTATATCAATAATTGAAAGAAATGCTCCTAGAAATTAATGAAAAGTTGGTGAAAATAAAGCTGTCACTAAGATTTCTGGATGTCTAAATTCTTCCACAGACCCATGACCCCAGGTTAGTGAATATCTGGAGGCACCGAAGTAATAGCTAGAGGTAATCTTGTCCATCTTGCTGTGTCAGGCAGAGTAACCCAAACACCAGGCAAAGGGGTATTTTCTACTTTTGTTTAGGAAATCTAGGTGAAAAAAATTTACAGTCTCACTTATTAAACCATGAACCTTATTTAATATTGTTAGGAAGATCCTTTTTCAAAGCTCCTACTGCAAACAAGTTTCTGGCAGAACGTGGAGTTATTGTTTGTAAAAAAATAATATTGATAAAACAGATTGGAAAAGTAATTTTTATGGTTGTTCCACAATGTTAAATTATGGTAATTATATCAGCAACTTATATGGATGGGTTGTTTATTAAATAAAAAATCAGATCTGAAGGTCTGATTTCAAGAATCTGAAAGTTAATTTCTTACTGAATGATCTTCCTTTTGTTGGAACACTTAGGAAGCAAGTGGCCCATCAGCCCTCAGGGCGTAACCAAAAGGGGAGTGAACTGAATTTTCTGCCAGGTCATCCCCTTTAATGAAAGTCCTTTTCAAAGTGAAAGGCTTGCAAACTGTGCTTGGCTAATTTGCCAACAATCACTGGACTAATCTTCGCTTTACCTACTTTTGTACTTAGTTACATCCCCCAAGCATGTTTTTTTCATCTCTCTGAATAGTGTACAGATATAGGGCTGAAAACCTCTATTTTATCCTCACAGGTTACAGAAGAATGAGGTAATCGTATCACTGTTTTAAAATTCTAATTCCTATGTATCCTATATTCCAAGTGATTTTGCATTCCTCTGCCCTGAAACTGAAATCCTCCATATCCTTTATCAGTATTAAATTCTTGATTACTCAGAAAGTTCTATGGGTAGGTTCCTTCTAGAAGTGAATACTCTGGGAGGGGTGGCAGATGGGACAGCTGAATTTGGTAACAGAGTCCCTGCTTTTATTTCATTTCTAGACCAGCAGCATCAGCATAGCCTGGAAACTTGCTAAACATGCACATTCTCAGGCCTCACCTTAGACCTACTGAATTAGAAACCCTAGAGGTGGGGCCAGCAATCTGTGTTTTATTCAGCCTTCCAGGGATTCTGAGGTCTGCTCAAGTTCTTGAGATACAGACTTCTGAAATGGGTCTGAAATGATTCTTCAGAGAATTGTCTAGAAGGCTAAAGAAGGAAGTGATGGTAGGTCCCAAAGATGACAGAAGAGAAGAGAAGGAGGCAGAATGGGGCTAGAAGAGGGTGGAGCCAGCAGGGCCCTTCTAGGATCCAGGATCATGAGCTGTGTCTATGGGGATGACAGTGTCAGATGGACAACCAAGTCCCGGCTGGCTTGAGGAGATGCCAGAAAACATGCAGAAACTCTAGTCACTGGCTCACTGACAGAAGGTCACAGAACATGGTATGAGGCAAATGCAAATACCTCTGACACTAAAACTAATGATAGCTTGTAGTACTTACAGAATGTTTACTACCTGACAGATTTCCTGCTAAGCAATCTAAATGAATTATCTCATAGGATTCTCACAAACATCATCCACATTTTGCAGCCTGAAGAAACTGAGAGACAAAGAGAAGTCATGTGCCCAAGACTACCGGGTGAGTGATGGTGGAGCCGGAATGGGAGCCAGGCTCTGAAGCCAACAGCAGTGTTTTAATCAAGACTTCATCCACCTTCACAAATTTTTCACAAATACAAGTCAGCCTCTGCCCGGTGAAATAGGGAATGTTCGCACCTGTTGCCAGTCCAAAAGCAGCCTGACAACATCCGTAAAGCCTTCAAGAATAATGCACACTCACTGCATTTCCCTCAGCACAGTGCAAAGTATGTGTCTCACCAATCCACAGGGCCTTCGCATTTTGCCTCTAGCCAAGAGAAGTGAAGCTCCGTCTGCTCTTTATCAAGGCCAGTATCATTCAAAGGAATCTTAAAAAGCCAAGATAGGTGGTTCATTTTTAAGCCAATATAAGTATCTATAGCCTATAAACTAGGTTTTAGGAACGTAACTGGACCATGCTGTTGTGGCCTCGCCATCGTTACAAAATGGTGGTAATTATATCGACAACAATTGATGGATAGGCTGCTTATTAAATATATATAAGATCCAAAGATTTGGTTTCGACAACAAAAAATGAATTTCTTCACTGGAAGATCTATCTTCTCTTTTGAAACTGAGGGAGCTGTGACAAATGGCCTGCAGGATATACGTGAGCGGCCGAGCAGCAGCGACAAATGGAGACTATTATTTTACAAGCTGTCCCTCCCTCATCTGCAAGTTTCTCACCAGGATTTTCATTCTTTTCAAAGCAGCCCTTCAACCTGGATGAGGCTGACTACAAGGTGGGGTAGCGCAAAGAATGGAGACAACACATCCCAGGAGAGGACTCCCTCATCCATGTCGTGCCCTCCAGGCTTCCTGAGGCTGGGGTGGGGGGATTCCAGAGGGTCTCGGGTCAAGGAAGACCGTGCACCCGCCCTCACGAGTCAGGAAATGCAGACCACATTCTGCTGATCTCTGCTGGAGAGTAGTGACTTCTGGGAGGACTGGACAGATATGCTTCTAAGGGGTAGAAGCTGGATCCTAACAGAGACAGGAGTGGTGGCATGAGCGAGCGACAGAAAGGAGGAAGCCTGGCTCTGTGTGTGGTTTTGGAAGGTTATCTTTCCACCCAAGACGGCTGGCCGAGGCTTCCCAGTTGTCTCAGCACAGGACTAGCCTGTCTCCTGGTGCTGGCCGGGGTCTTTCAACCTCCCATGAAGGCTCTGTGTACCCTGCTTCGTCGGGTTCAAGCTCTTCCCTAGGAATGGGATGGAGGCTCAGGAGGGGCTTCTCACCTGCTCCTGCGGGGGTGAGCGGAACTCCCTGGTCTTCCGAGCAGTCAGGGCCGCAGACATGTTCAGGGCCTGCATGAGTTCGTTGTAGCGGAACTTCTGATTTGCCTGGAGCTTGGAGACATAAATGTCGCCAAAGGCCACGATGGCCTCCACCCGGTGCTGCAGCTCACAGTCACAGAGATAGCTGAGGAGCTCACACATCTGCAAAAGTGTACACACACGTGAATATAATAATACTTCATATACACTGGTGAAGCGGCTATCATCCCCATTCTACAGATGGTAACACTGAGACTTAGGCGATTTAAGGAACTTGCCCAGTGTCACACAGTGATCATAGAGTTATTACTGGAATCCAAGTTGGCCATTACTGGATGACTCTGGATTAGTACTTGAACCCAGAGCCCAGCTCTTTACCGCTGAGCCAGGAGAACAACAGGAAAATGAGCTCATTAAACACAGAGCGTGTCTACCTGTGGAGACAGAGAACAGCATGTAGGAGAGCGTTTCCCCAGGGCTCTAAGCTCAGTACGGAAACCACCAGTGAATGGTACATATGAGCACTGGGTCTCCTTCCTGACATCCTCCGGTTCTGGATGATGGGAAAGTGAGACTTCTGCTTCCCTCCCCATCTTTCACTGTTTTGGTTTATCAGCGCTGTTTTTCTATGATCAATTGTTATAACTAATCTCATCGCCATTAGAATTTATACTAATAAGAAAAAAATAGCCATACCTTATTGAGCACTAGCTATTTGCCAGACACTGTGCCAGGCACTTGCCATACTTTACGGGTGTTCCTCATATTTTTACTAAAGCAGAAGTTCTATTCACCCACCTCCACTTAACCCATCACACGTGACTAAAGAACACTCTCCAGGGCCTCCCTGGTGGCACAGTGGTTGAGAGTCCGCCTGCCGACGCGGGGAACGCGGGTTCGTGCCCCGGTCCGGGAAGATCCCACATGCCGCGGAGCGGCTGGGCCCGTGAGCCATGGCCGCTGGGTCTGTGCGTCCGAACCAAGAACACTCTCCAGTGTGTCTGGGCGCAGACAAGGCCCCTGGTGGTGGGGTGCTGTCACCTAGCAGGACAGTCTCTGCACATCTGCACACCTCTGCTCCAGCCAGGTAAACTGGGACCCAGAGCTTAGGCTCCTCTCACTTGTGATTATAATTACAACATTTAAAGTCATGTGGGTGAATGAAATAGGAAAACTAAGTTGAATGACTAGGGAACATCTGTGAAAGGCGAGTTTTTTTTTTTAAAAAAAATGCTAAAATTGAGTGTGAGTTAGACAACTATAAAAAGTTGGGGGAAATCATAAAAATCTAGAAGCATTTTGCACTCAGGTTGCTTTCAATTACCTACCTTAAAGACCCCAAAGTGGTAATCATAGATGGTGCATGACAGGTGTCATCCATGGAAAAGAGAGGACTCTATGTGCCAGTCAGGGACTCATATTAAAGAAGATATCTTGCCCCAAATCATGTGCATATAGATACCTGCTTCAATTAAACTGGCTACTGCAGGCACACTTCTTTTCTTAATTTTAGACTTAAGAAAAGTTACAATAAAATAAGCCAACTCTTAGTTTTGACATTTTCCTATTGTTTTCCTGCTTTTTCTTCCCATTTATATTTCTGCTCTAATATTTATTTTCTTCCTTCTGCTAAATGTGGGCTTGGTTGGTTCTTTTTCTAGCTCCTTGAAATATAAAGTCAGATTATTTGAGATCTTTCTCCTTTTAATGTAAACATTTATTGCAATGTACTTCCCTCTTCTATTTTTGCTGCATCCCATAGGTTTTGGTAATTTTTGTTTTCATTTTCATTTGTCTTGAGGTAACATCTTTTTTTAAAAAAATTAATTATTAAAAAAAAAAAAAAAGAAGAGGTCTTGGCCCTCCATCAGAATAGCACATTTCTATGTTTTAATAAAATATTTAAGGTACATATGTAAAATTTGTTATGCTTCTCCTCTATATTCAATGTCTTGATGAAATGGCCACCTACCAATCCCATCATATTGGATAAGGGAGCTTCGACTGCAGATTTTTTTTTTTTTTTTTTTTTTTTGCAAGCTTAAGGTAGACAACTCTAACCAAACCTCTCTTTGCTCTGACAGAACACAAGTCAATTCTTGGTGACACTATTTGCAGCTCATCTGAACCTGCATGGTTTTCTCCCCTGAGCTACAGGTTAAAGAGTGATTATTGTATTAGATTCGTTTTCTATAGTCTGTGGTGCAAGGGGAAGGGGGAAGCTCTGCTGGGGCTCTGGGCAATAGCCCAGAACTCACGGGCTATTGAGTGAGTTCTATTTCTTCAGAGATTCTCTTAATATCTTATCTGAGAATTCATGTCACATAGTTGTGGGTGCTATTCCTCTAAAAATATCCCATGGGTCAAGGGTGCCCAGAGTCTTAAGATTATTGCTCAATTTATTTGAATCCCTGGAAAATGTAAAGCTCTGGGAGCCCTTCTTTTCTCTGTAATGATAGTTAAGGGTTTCTCTTGACTTTTTCCAAAGCTGCCTACTGCTAAGCCTAGCCATGCTAGAATCTTCTGATTTTCTTTGGCTACCAGGTTTTCACAGTTAGAGAGTGAGACTGTAACTGCTTCCTTGTTTTGACTCCTGGTGGTGAACTTATTGCTGGTTTCAACTATATTTGCTGTTTGAGAGACAGATTTTTGTGATCCTCTTTCACACTACAGTCTAACCAGGGAGCACCAAAAACTTCCCGGACCGGGGCACGAACCCGCGTCCCCTGCATCGGCAGGCTGACTCTCAACCACTGCGCCACCAGGGAAGCCCAGATTATTTTATTTTTTATAATATATTTTATGGTAAAATACGTTTCAAATTATATTTTTTTAAAACACATTTTAATATTATGTTTTACTATATCATCATCCACATTTTACAAATCATAAAGCCAAGACTGATGGGCTACTGACTTGGCAAATTTATTTAGCTAGTAAGTGGCTGAGGAGCAGGAACGGAAGTCCGGGGATGCCTGAACCAGGGTCACTCCACTAAGATCAACTGCTCTCCTCTATTTCTTTTCTTTTCTCGTTTTTCACTTTTTAGAAAATTTATTGAAGTATAGCTGATTTACAGTGTTGTGTTAATTTCTCCTCTATTTGTTTTCATTTCTCTCTTCTCAGTGCTGAGAAGACAAAAGTCACCATCCTCTTCAGTGCATCACTGATGCTAGCTTACGTCTGGTAAGACTAAGCTGCGTGAGGGGGCAGCTCTAAGTGAGCAGGACACCCAGCGCAGGTGGTACTTTCTCTGAGTGCCAGTGTAACAGGTTCACGTCAGGCTTGTGATCGGAGCACGGCAACAACTGAGAGCAGCTGATGAGTGTGGTCATTCTACAAGCCAGTTCCTTTGGTCCACTCCACGGCCAAAGGTTCCTCCCCGTCTCCAGACAAGATGTCACAGATGAGAGCTTTAGTCCCAAAGGGTAGGAGAGAAGACCAGGGAAAATCCATCACTGGGACCAGAAAAAGTTCTAAAGCACACGCTTTATTGACGAGGGCTGGTATTTTCATTTTGGTTTGGGGAGACTTAGGGAGTACCTTCCAGCTCAGAAACAAGCAGGACCAGTGGGCGCTCTCCCTGAGCATCTCTGCTACACTCCACATTCAAGCCAATGCCCACAGTCCGGGCGTCACCACCAGGCTGCACTGTCACCCTCCCCAGCTCTTTCCAAGGGCAGGATGCTGGCTGCCCCGAGTTACCTGCAGCTTGACGGACTCCGGTAGTCGGGTCTGCAACAAGCCTTTGACGGGAGCCTCCTTGCTGGCCTTTTCCCCAGCCTCCACAGCCTTCTCCTCGACCTGGGTCACCTCCTCCTTCTCTGCTCCGTCCTGTGTGTCCGCACTGTGCTCCCCAAACACGGAGGGGTCGATGACAAGGAGGATCTGCCGAACATCGTCATCGTCAAACACCCCCATGACCAGCAGGGTTCCGATGAGTTTCAGCACAGGCACGAACTGGAACTCCACGGACCCCCCGACGGGGTCCCGGATGTGAGCCCCACTGCACCGCACTGCCTCCGTCAGCATGCTCAGCGCCTTCGTCTTGAGAAGCTCCAAGGGAATCTCGGGGCTCTGCTTCTGGTGTTCCTCGCTGGTCATGACGAAGCAGGCGGGGGAGAACCTGAACCCTGGCTTGAGGCACGTTCTCGGGCCCACCCCAGGGAGCCCATGCCTCTTGGACTCGTCCGGGTACAGGCGGATTTTCCTGGTGTTGCTGGTGATGGGGATGATGTACTCATTCTTCATCATCAGCTTCCTCTCCTTAGCGCTGGCCAGGTGGATGCTGATGAGAAGGTCATAGAAGCCGGAGCGCAGGAAGCCGGGGAGGTACTTGTTGTCAATGGCATAGAAGAGCTGGGAGAGGTCCACGTGGCTGCACAGGGCGTAAGCCACCCGGCTGTTTCCCAGGGCGCACAAGGCGCTGTAGAGTCTCAGCGTGTGGTAATGGAACCGCAGGAGGTCCTCCTTCTCGCAGAGCTCCAGGATGTCCACACACCTGAGGAGGAGACAAGCAATCAACCACTCCAGGGGGAGAAAACTGTGCCAGAATTCAGCGGAGCGCTGACCCTCGGAATCCCCACGCATCTCACCCGAGCCAAGGAAGGCAGAGCGGGTAGAAGCCTGGAGGAGTCTCTCATGGGTTATCATTCGTCTCCCAGTTCTGGTCCCTATCCCAGCTCCTGATTATCCACCATTTCTAACTACGAGGGTCTCAAAAGTCTGTAAGACTTAAAAGCCACTAGCTTGCCAAATATCAAAGTCCCCACTATTAGGGAAAAACCCAACTCAGAACTGAAAACATTCAGGTACATGACAGGTGACTTGGTCCTCTTATTTGTAGGCTCAAGGGGATCCTCTGTTTCCTGATGTAAGAGCCCCTCAGAAGACGTAGCTAAAGCCCTCCCATCAATTTACCATCTGCCTCATCTATGGAATCTCCAGTTTACCATCAGCCATGGGGCTATCGTTTTCCTGAAAACAAACACACACCCGCGCTCCTGTCCAGAGAGGAAACGCCTTGCAACCTGTGATGAGTCGGCATAGTCAGGTTCACTTTCTCCATCCTGACTGTAGAGATCTATTTGCTGTGTATTATTCCCTTGTGTGCGGGGGCCCAGGGCTCTGATCTCTGCTTAGATTTTTCCATTTTGTCTTGCTTCTCACTGAGAACCTGAGGACACTTTGCAATTGGCTTACTTGGCTGGTCTCCTGGTCTCTTCTGCTCCTTCCCTACCCTAGCCTGCCCTTCTGCTGCCCATGACCCAGTGGAATACCTAAATGTGAGCTATGCAGGTGTCAAATACCTCCATCCTCTATTGCCTTACCTTTTCAGTCCAAGAGATCAAGGGGTAATAATATCCATAAAAATAAAACTTACTTAAACAGAAACTGAACTAGATTCTCCCTACACAATTTCATTTTTTCTCTCTCAGCAATCCTTTGGGTGGGCATTGATCTCACTGTACTGATGAGAAGACTGAGGCCTGGAGTGTATGAGTAACTCACTCAAGCCCACGCAGCCAGAAAGTGATAGTGCTGGAATTGAATCTAGGCCATAATCCAGGAGCACCTCTTTTTTTTTTAATTTTAATTTTTAATTTATTTATTTTTTTGCGGTACGCGGGCCTCTCACTGTTGTGGCCTCTCCCGTTGCGGAGCACAGCGGCCATGGCTCACGGGCCCAGCCGCTCCGCGGCATGTGGGATCCTCCCGGACCGGGGCACGAACCTGCGTCCCCTGCATCTGCAGGCGGACTCTCAACCACTGCGCCACCAGGGAAGCCCCAGGAGCACCTCTTAAAGAGTGAGGACCAGGAGCCTGATTCTTGGTTCTCCAAGCAAGCTAGGCATGCCTCATTCTTCCCCTTCTTGCCATCAATAACATATTATTTCTGAGCCACGCTAGGGTTTTTAATTAAACGCATGAAAATGTCCCTGAGTGCAGGTACTCGGAGCTACAGTGAAAGCCCCGTGGCAGGCCTGTCACTGTGAATATCATGCAGTTTCTGAGTGAATAATCAAAGTGGGGAAGGCAAAGAAGAGAAACCGCGGCTTCGGGACAATCAGCAGTCATCTTGGGCCCTTTGCCAATGAGGATGATCCTCCTTCCCTTCTGGGCTTGCTGGGTACTGCTTCCCTGCCTCCCGGGCCTGGCCCTTCCTCTTTGGGCCCCCCCACTACCTGTTCTCCTCGGGGATGTAGAGCGCCATCATCTGTAGAGGCTCCAGGCACTGCACCACCCAGCCATGGCGGTCGCTCACCCGCTCCGTCTCCACCTTCAGGAAGCTGCTGGGCATGCGGCTCCAGAGGACGGGCTGGATGGTTTGGACGTCCAGCCGTGGTGGGCACTGCGGGACGGGGTTTTTCTCTTCACTCTTAAATATGGCTGCCGACAGGGGCATGGCGTTCTGGGGCAAGGCAGAAAGGCATCAGGGGGGAGGACACGTGTGCAACACAGAGATGCTCAGTGGCTGGACAATGCACCTGGCCCATGTTGACCAAAAGGATGAGCATACATTAAAAAGAGACAAATGCACCCAGGGACCAATGAGGGCTTCACCAGCATCAATGAAGACCTGACATAATGGGTTATGTGAACATTCATTAATTCTTTCGGTACTCAACTGAAGTGGGAGAAGGGGAAAATGGGAACCTATCTACTGTTGCATGAATTTCACATGGAAGTGTAGACGTTTGGGAGGCATATGAGAAGCAAGAGGCGACAGATTCCCGGTTTTCTCAGGCCTGAGCCTCTCCCCCTAATGGTCAGCATGTCCCCTCATGTCACAGACATTAGATGAGGGGACAGATAAATACCTTCAGCTTCCCAAGTTCAAACTGAAACAAAGAGGTGCTTGTAGGCTGCAGGAAGACTGCTGGAAACACTTTGGTATTGGGCTCCACCTGGAAACCAAAACAAATCCAGATGTTTGCCCAGAATTATTAAACCACACGGGGCTAAGTCATGGGTGTTTCAATCAACACCCTCACTCCAACTTGAGCTGAAAGAGGGCAGTTAACTGGCTGCTGATTGCCCACTGCTCAGAGATTCCCAGAGACCCGGTGCCTAACCGTAGCTATTGTCACTGCTCCCACCTTCAACACTCCCTTCCTCTCTCCACTCGGGGCTGAACAATCTCACGTCCATTCACTTCCTCTCTCGGGTAACCAAAGCCAGCAGCTTTCTGCAGTGCTCAGGGGGACAGTCACAGGTGGGAGCAACCCACCGGCCACCGAGGCAGTGCCTGCTCTGGTCACAGAACAAGCTGAGGCGCTGGCTCTTCGTAGAGCATGGAGACCCCCCCAGGCCCACAGCAAGCACCACCATCCACCATTCCCGCCCTGGAAGGTGACAAGGGAGGGTGGTGCGGTGGCTTCAGTATTCTTTCCCAAGGCACACGGCTGTCGGTCAGGCAAAGCCGGGGGACCTACAGCAGAGCGTCGCAACCTCAGCCCTACTGATAAATGTCTCCAGAGTTGCCAAATGTCCCTGAAGGGAAAAGTGCCCCCACTCGAGAGCCCACTTTGCAGGCAGGGACCACGCGGCGCTTCCCTGGAATTACATGAAGAGGCTGCCCCTGGAGCCTCTCTCCACCCTCAAAACCATTCCCTCTCACTTGGTTCCTCTGGACTTCTCTCCACCCCTTCCTCACTCTCCATGATTTTAGTTCTTACATTAAATGGTGCAGGATTCACCAACTGCCTTTTAGCTGCCACTGAGATGAGGCATGTGGATTTATTTATTTATGACATCAGGGGCTCCACTTATCCCTTGCTCACCTTGATGTCGGGCTTTTGATCAGACTTGGAGGACCACGGGAGAAGAAATGGAACTTTAATCCCACCGACTAAAGTCCTTTGCCTTTAAGCAAATTCAGACATTAGGACATTCTTGCAACTCTCCCGACCCGTCACATTAGGGGCTGCTGGGTATTGGGAACATACCCTAAAAGTGTCCCCCAGTGAGTCACCCCCTTGTACAATCCCCTCTCCTAGAACCTGTGCCTTGTTTCCAGCAAACAGAATATGGCAGAGAGCGACTGCCGTGCCCTTGATTGGGTTTCACTGTAGAAGACCCCATCTCAGCAGATGGGAGAGGAAGATAGCCTCGGACAAGTAAACTGCCATGTTGCCAGAGGGCCACGCGACAGGGGTTCCAGGGAGGTCTCATGGGGCTGAGAGTGGTTGGCCCCTGGCTTCAGCCAGCAAGAAAATGGAGCCCTAGCTCTACAAATGTAAGCAAATGAATTCTGCCCACAACCATGTGAGCTCAGAAAAGGACCCCGAGCTCCAGGAAAGAATGCAGCCTGGCTGGCACCTTGACTGCAGCCTTGTGTGATGCTGAGCAGAGGACCCAGCTAAGCTGTGCCCTGACTCCTGACCCGTGGACACTGCGGGACAATAAATGAATGCCTTTAAGTCACTGAGTTTGTGGTAATTTGTTATCAGGCAATAGAAAATGAATAGGGCAGTTTTCCTTTCTGCCAGGATATTTGTTACAGGCTTCTTGTAAATAATGAAGTTCCTCAATGCATTTAGACATAAGAATTATAAACATACATTTTTATGGCTGGAAGTGACTTAAAAGATTGTCTGGTCCAGTGCTATCATCTGCTCACGATGAAGAGGCCAGACTGCTTAGACCCCAGGCGTGCACCCAGCACATGTCATTTGAGCACACTGTAGTAGGCTTACGTTTCAGATAAAACATTTGCTTTTACCTGATGCTTCAGGTACCCATGAGTGATATGAAGGGATGATGCCAGTAAAACCAACAGGTAGGGAGGGGGCTGCTAGAACTGCCTAGGCTATGTCTGAAATAAGCTTTGGTAAGGACATTCAACAATCATTTAGTGCCTATCACACACCTTCTTTGTGCCAGGATCTGGGTTTATGGGTGAGAGACACATATGGGAAATTCTGATTTGATGCTGTGTGACTTTGGCCACAAGGCAAGAGTCATCTCTGGTCTGGCCCCAGATTTCTCAAATACCCAACAGGTAACATCTAGAACAACGTGTGTCCCTCAAGTCATGGCAACTTGAAGCAAGCAGAGGGCTGGCAGCTGAGAAAACTTCACCTGGACCAACCAGGTGAAGAGAGAGAGAAATGCATTCAGCCAGAGGTTTTCTTTGCTGAGCTAAATTGTACCAGTATAGGGAGCGACAGGCTGGAGAGGGTGGTGCCTTTTTAGGTCTCTCAGGAATGGTCCCTGCAAACTTCATAAACTACGCAGTCAAATGCCAGGGCCCTCCTCAAACCTCCTTGCAGAGAGGAGGTCCTTGAAAGCATCTAGGATGGGTGCCCTGGGATGGGTTTATTTCTACCGTGCAGAGTACACTCCCACCACGATGGACAACGGGAACGTCTCTTCAATCACTAAAATAACAAGAACACACAAGGGTGAGCTCCTGATGGGTGTACATTAAGGAGAGAAACTGCAGCTGGTGGTGTGGTAAGTGGAATACTAGACGGCCCTCCTGACCCCTGGGGTTAGTCCCCTGATCGTGTATGTCACAGGGCAAAAGGGTTTCTGCAGGTGTTAGTGCGGCTACTGGCCAGGAGACCTTAAGATAGACAGAATATCCTTGTGGGCCTAATCCAATTGCACGAGCCCTTAAAAAAAAAAGCAGGTGTTTTCTCCTGCTGGGGGCAGAAGGGAAAATCAGAGAGAGTCTTGAAGCCTGAGAAGAACCAGATGTGCCCTTGTTGGCTTTGAAGATGGAAGGGGCCATGTGAGAGGGAATGTGGGCACCTCCGGAAGCAGAGAGGGGCTGGCCAGCAAGAAAATGGAACCTCAGCCTACAACCACAACTGGATCCTGCCGACAACGTGAATGAGCTTGCAGGGGATGCTACCCAGAGCCTCAGGACAGAGACGGCTCATTCCAGCCGACACCTTGATTTCTGGCCTTGTGAGAACCTGGGCAGAGAACCCAGTCAAATCTACAGAACTGTGAAATGCTAAATGGATGCCGTTTTAAGCTGCTAATTTTGCGGTAACTTGTTAGGCAGCAATTAAAAAACTAGTGGCTTCCCGGCCGAGTTGGCCAGTTTGATAATAAATACTTAGCAAGCGCTCACTAGGTACCAGGCACCGTCTCATGTGTTAGGGGATGCAGCAGTGCACCTGAGAGATGGCCTCTCCCCTCAAGGAGCTTACACTCTGGAAGGCGAGGCTGCATTCTAATGGAACAAGCAGTGAGCCCAGACGAAGTGCCATGGACTTTCTTCCCTTTGTGTTTAAGGTACCTTTTATCACTGGCTGCTACGTTTTGTCTTTGCAATGACAGACATTCTATTTCTAATCACATGTGAAGGTCAGGGCATAGGAACTAGCCTGAATTGAAGGGTAACCCCTCTCGCAAATCTGAATCTCACGGCTGGCTCTGCTCTCGGAGCAGTGTGGCTGCAGTGGCAGTAACTGAGGAGTATCTCTTGTACATACATTTTATTTCTCATTTCTCCCATGATTACATTAAGTGAGACAGAAAAAGCTTTTCAAATCGCATAGCAGTATTTAATGGGGAGGTCTAGAAACATTGTTTGAGAGAATCCTCCTCTCATTATTTTGGTTACTGGTCCTTTCTGAATGGAAAGCCAGTATATAAATATTGCTGCCCTGCTCCTCTTGAGATGATTGAAAAATGAAAATGGCTACAGCTGCAGAATAACAATTATCCCACTGCTGGGAGCCCAGACGCATGGCTGGACACGTTACTGTCTCACGGGAATGAGAAGGGGGCTGGGTGGGTATGAGCCTCCTGAGGGTCCGTGCTCAGAGTCGTGACCTCCTCCCCATTCCCAGCTCAGGGTGAGAGGGGGTTTGGAGCCCTGAGCAGAGTCATCAGGATTTGTACGCATATGGAGTCACGCCAGGCATCCTGGGGTGCGGGTGTCAACGTGTAGCTCAGACAGCTGACCAGCCCAGTGTCATCCAGGAACTACTGCGTGAAAGATGGGATACAAATGTGTTCTGCTCTTTGTTGTAACATCTTCTCACCGTCATGGGCTGTTTCCTGAAGCAGGCAAGTCACTGCTGCTGCAAATGCCATGGGCTATTTATTTATTTATTTGTTTAGGGACCTTAAAAGTGATTAGATGCTTTGGAGCTCTCTGTAGCTCAGGGAGGACCCTTCAGTCAAACTCATTTCAAAAGTTAATGGGAAAAAAGCTAATGGATTCTGAAGGACGGCAGTCATGTATACAAGCCTCCTCTCGGTACTGGTGGGGAAGGGAACGTGGAATCCTGAGAAAGTACCGGAAGAATACCTTACTTTCTGCTTCAAAGCCTGGTTGTGCAGAGGCCTCTTCCTGGGAGCGGCTGGTGGGGTCCCAGTTGCTGGGTGGTAGTGATGATTCCACTTCTTCCCAGGAGGGGGCTACCCACTGCAGGAGGTCCTGGAGAGGACCGCCACACCAGCAGGCCCGTCCCTGGCCCCCAGGAAGGGCTCTGCCCATCTGATTTTGGTCACCTAACATTTCAGACACTTGCTGCCAAGGGGCTTTTCAGCCCAGAGGCTGTAACCTGGGGCTGATTCTGGAATCTGGGGTTTTAGCCATTTACACAGGAGCCGGATGCTTTTAGTCCGCTGTAGCTGGGTAAGCTTCCCTGGACACTGCCTGCCACTGTCCTGGTCAGAACTCTTCAGGAGTTCCACATTTCTTCCTAATACCTCCCTACCTTTCCAAATTTGTTACTAGGAACCATAACCCATTCTATTCTGTCCATCGTTCCTCAAACATACACTATGCCCCCGTCTCCATTACGCTTCTTGTGCCATTCTTTCAATCTAGTACACTCCTCTCTCTCCACCTGGAAGAATTCTTTGTTTCAAAATCAAGATTTCTCTGTAATAAACCTTTTCTTGACCACTCTCAATGGAAGCAGGCTCTTCCTTCTCTGAACTTGGATAACACTCTATCCACACGTACATGAGGCTCTCCATTCTACCCTTGGAGTGTCAAGAAGGTTTAATACAGAAATTTGACTTCCTAACTTAGCCTGTCTCATAGTGTGCTCTGTAGAACTCTAGGCTTATAGAAGATTACTAACTGTTAAAAAAAAAAAAAAAAAAGCTCTTCTTGGTTAAATAATACGAGAAATGCTTGGCTAGGTTTCTTTCTGAAGCATTTCTTAAAGTTTTCCTGGACTAACACTCACCGCGAAACTTCCAAAGGAGGATATATAATCTGTGGCATTTCCCAAGCTTACTTGGCCATCAGAGATGAAGCTTAAAGGAGATTAGGCTTCTTGTGGTTAATGACGGGTAAACCTACGTGGGTATAATTAATGGCTTCCCCAAGTAGTTCTGTCGAAGTTCATAGTCAATGAAAGAGAAAAATAAATTATTTATGTAAATGCATTTTAAAGCACTCTGTAAAGAAGCCATAGTGAATGAGAATAACCTTTTATTGCAAAGGGAATACTCCCTGGCAGATCAATCCATTTTTATAGGTCTGTATTTTGAGCATAGAAGTTTCTTAAAGTGAGGAGTAGCTCTGTTGACCTTTTAAACTTTGCATCTTATATAGTGTAGGTAACATGAAAGTTGCACAAGAAATATTGATGGAACCAACAAATAACCTTTTAGAGCCCATCACCAAGGAAAAGCCTTCTTATCTTCTATAAGGATGACCAGCATTTCTGATCAACCAATAAACGAGATCTTTCCCTCTCTGAACAAAAGGAAGTCACTTTACTCTCATCTTCCTAGATGGCACTGGACCACGTGGGTACATCAACTCCATGTGCTGTGGTGGGGATGCCACCTATGGAGAAGACTGAGGAGCTGTGCCCTGAGCACCAGGCTGGGGATGCTGCTGTCACGGCCCCAGGAGCCGCCCCTACCTGGTAGCAGGTGCCGAGTTCCCTCCCGTTGGCCGAGAAGGACAACATGCCCATTGCCAGATCCACGAGGCAGCCGATCTCTAGGTCCACGTTGCTGCGACTTGCTCTTTGGGACGTGGCCACGATGTCCCCACCCCAGACCATGTAGCAGTTGCTGCGCTTCACACTAGGAGCCAGAGAGAAGAAAAGGCACGGAATCTGGACTGGGGGCAGTTTGGAATCAAGACTCAGGATTGAAATGCCCCCAAAGCTTCCAATGAAGCTTTCCAATCAGCCCCGAATAATTTTGTTTCTTAAATGAATTCACTCAGTTTAGGAATGTGGCACTCTATCTGCTTCAAAGAGCAGAGTGTTCAGGCAACTTGTTTCCTGGCTCATCATCCATTCATGTTTCTGAAACAGATAATGGGGACGGTAGTATTTCCACCTTAGAAGTGGGAGATAAAGGTGCAGAGAGGATGACTACCTCAGGTGGACTTAGAGAGGAATTTGGTATAAGAGGCAGGAACGAAAACTCTGTGTCCTGAGTTCCATTTCAGTGCCAGGGCAAAAGGCCATTTGACACTTGAGAACTCAGGCCCACATTCCCTAGGATGGCAGGCCTGGGCCCCAGGGAGATTTGCAAAATAGATAAAGTTAGTCTCTGATGGCCTCCCACCTCCTGATCTGTACTACCCCCCCCCCACCCCAGCTCCCTGGAGCTCTGCCCCCTGCACTCTTCACCACCTACCAACCTGGGTCCCTTTCTCAGCTAGCTGGCTACCACCCCCCAGAAAGAAAACTCCACCATAGGCATTTAGCTTTAAAAGCCAACTACAATAACCAAAAAGCCTTTAAACTCCAAAGCCTGCTTTTTTTTTGTTTGTTTGTTTTTTGCAGTACGCGGGGCTCTCACTGTTGCGGCCTCTCCTGTCGCGGAGCACAGGCTCCGGACGCGCAGGCTCAGCAGCCACGGCTCACGGGCCCAGCCGCTCCGCGGCATGTGGGATCCTCCCGGACCGGGGCACGAACCCGCGTCCCCTGCATCGGCAGGCGGACTCCCAACCACTGCGCCACCAGGGAAGCCCCAAAGCCTGTTTTTTTTAATGGTAAGATTTCAAACCCTGGGTGGGCTTTGGAGAAGTGGTATGTGGATCCCCAGAGCCCCTCACGATGGCTGCGGGCAGGAGGCAGCTGGTATGTCTTTTCCTAAGCCCAGTCCTGGTGTGGCTCATCTGAGGGACCCGGTTGCTTAAAGTAACACCAAGTGATTTATCTCAGGCTAAAGGAGAGAGTGACTCTATACGGGATGCTAGAGCAGCCCCTTTAAACTTCCTAAGGTCAATCTGATCTGGCCTTGGAAAGCCAGGAATTTGAATAGAATTCTCCCAGGTTCTTTCTGCTTCTGGAAGTCCATCACTTTTCCAGACAACTAGAAATCCCGTTTGTAAGCATTCCTTCACCTCCTCCCCTCGACTCTCCTCTGTGGCACCAGTCAGGCTGGTTTCTCAGGGTGAATGCCCTCAGGCAGGGCCAGTGCAAATTGCTCATTCCAAAGAGTTACAGCTATTGCTAGATTTCCACTAAGGTTAAACTGTGGCGATGCCATTACTTCTTTTCAGTGATTAAAGTACGAAGTACACTAATGACTACAGAATTCAATTAATAAGGTACAGAAGCCGCAGGAGTGTGAGGTGCCACACTTTGGTCATATTTCAAAGGGTCCATGTTTGAAATGCCTGAAAACATCCGAAAATCGACCCTGTGTTTACTTATTGCACAAGACAAAGAACTAAGAGTTACTGAGCACCTACTATCTACTGGGTCTTACGTTAGGTGCCAATGTGTCAGTTAATTTTCCCAATGAATGTGGTCACTGAGGCTCAGATAAATAAAATAATCAGTCTGGCATGGCAGAGCGAGCAAACTGGAGCAACAGACCCAACTGGGATGAGACTGTGCTTTTTGTTCTTTTGGCTGAAGAGCAAAGTCTGGAGCGGTCAACTGCTTTCACATACTTTCCTTTAAACCAAACCAGATGCTGCATCTGGTTATAGCATCTACTCTGGGTCTCATAACATGCTGAACATTCAGTAATGGTAATAAGAGTGCTGTTTATTGAGTACTTGAGTTGAGGCACTGTTGTAGGCTCTTATCTATGTATCATCTCACTTAATCCTCATAACACTCTGTGAGATTAGAACTACTATTCTCATTTTATAAATAAGGAAATTTAGACCCAGGGAGGTTAAGTAACAGGTCCAAAGTCACACCTCTAGTAAGTACTGGAACCCAGTTTAAAACGCAGGCAGTTTGCTTCCAAAGTCTGTACTCTTAACCACCCACCAACAATGGTCCCCCAGAAAACAGCAATTGCGCCTGGCCTTTGATGAGCCAGTAGCATCTGAAGAGCAAAACATTCCTGACTTTGTAGGGATAAAGTTATCATGAGAAACAACTTATTACACTTCTATACAGGCCTGCCATATGGGCAAGGACTCTAGTAAATCTCACTTAGGTGGAAATAAGGCATGGTCTGCTGGTTCATTTCTGGGGCATCACTGGCTAAAGATCCTTCCTTGGTGGTAGTACCAATGGACCAGTGGGAGGGGATGGGTGTGCCTAAAACATTTTCCTCGAAGATCCCTAATTTCTATTCAGTGGTTATTATTTATAAATTTGCCATGTCTCTTTTATGTTCTTTATGCTTTCAGCCATTACAAACTTTTGGGATGAGAAGTTCTGAGTTATCAGTTGCTGTGTGATGTGGTACATCTTCTTATTTTCTGCAACTGACTTCCCTCAAGCACCCAGGGATTCTTCTCTGTCTCGTTCTTATGTTGTAGAAATTGGGGCTGGCCTAGAAATCACGGAGTCTGAGAGGGAGCCCAGGCTTCCCAACTGTCCATCTGTATCTCCCGTCCCTGGGTCACGTTTTATACATGTGATGAAACTGCCCTTTATTTTAGCTAATAACACTTCTCCCACCATAGTCGTCCCCCACCCCTGCCATTTACTTAAGGATTTTAAGCCTGTGCTTCATTTTCCCTTTATAATAGAGGCTGATGTTTCCTTCTTTGGGGTGTGAGGGGAAGGGAAAAAGACCGCTGGGGGAGGGCCAACCCTGCCCCTCAGGAGTCCTCTTACCTTTCGTGGACCCGGCCTCTTTCGTCCCCCAGAGTAACAGTCACGGTACAGTTTTTATTCAAGTCAAACTTTTCACTGTACAAATGATAGTCGGGAGTCACCCATCCGACCCAGACGCAGGAGGGGTCCTGTCCAGCAAAGATGCGAATTGCGTAGTAGCACTGCTGGGGAGAGACCACAGGGGGCCGTGAGTGACCGCACCCCCACCCCCCCGCCCCTGTTGCGGGGAGCGGGCTCAAGAGGCAGAAATTATGCAGCAGCCCCCTGACTCCCTTTTCTTGAAAAGCACACACTGTTCTGGGGGTGTACTGCACTACACTCTGGACTGGGTGAAGAGCTGATGAGAGAATCTGGTTTCCTTACTTTTACCTTTTCTGTTGTGCTTTAGCCTAAAATATCAGGCATCTTATACACCACCCACTGCCCAGAAGATGCTGCTGCCGAGATCAGGGGCAGCCACTCAGAATGGTCAGCACAGAACCCTAACCCTCTTCTGGGTACCAGGGCTGCTAGGCAGAGCCAGGCACATCTTCGTCCTCAGAGAGAAGAGCCATGAAATTGCCCTGGGGGCCGGGGGTTAGAGAACTCGGGCTACGCTTTCCAATTCTGCAGGAAGTCTAAGTTTTTTTAAGTCTCGAAAAAGATGCTACAAAAGAAAAAGCCCACAATGTGGCCAAATGTGCTTTGTGTGGTCATCAGACTCAGTGACAGGCAGGGCTGAAAATTAAAGCCATTCTTGGTGGGCACTGTAACAACTTGTGAATTGTATCACTGGGTTATCATAACAACTAGAGCATCGAGGTAAGTGACTGCTTCATCATTTTCTTTATGAAACTGAGCACATTTATTCTTTTTTTCTATTTTGCTTCTATTCTATTTTATTATTTTTAAAATTTTTATTGGAGTACAGTTGCTTTACAATATTGTGCTAGTTTCTACCGTACAGCAAAGTGAATCAGCCATACATATACATATATCCCCTCTTTTTTGGATTTCCTTCCCATTTAGGTCACCACAGAGCACTGAGTTCCCTGAGTAGAGTTCCCCGAGCTATACAGTAGGTTCTCATTAGTTATCTATTTTATACATAGTATCAGTAGTGCAAATGAAGTCCTTTTATGTGTAGTCTGTCCTACTTTTTGATTGGAAAAGGGTCAGCCAGACACACCTGTGCTGGCATCTTGGCACTGGCAGCTATTAATCATGTGATCTTGGACAAGTCATTTGTCCTCTCTGTGCTTCAGAGCGCATGATATTGTTCATCTCCTGGGGTTGCAGTGGAACTTAAGAAGGAAGGTGATACAATGTGCTCCGTGAAGTGTCCTGCACATAGTAAGTGTGTGACATGCCGCTGCAAGAATCCTGCTCTTGATAGTTAACCTACGAACTTGGGGTTGCAGGATAACTTTATAGAAGGGCTGACATGCATTTCTTCCAAAGGAATTTGTGTGTGTGTGTGTGTGTGTGTGTGTGTGTGTGTGTGTGTGTGTGTGTGTGTTTTGGTCAGGTGCTAAGGAAGGATGAGAGAAAGAAGGAAATTAAGAGAAGCATTGCTTTCTGACCACTGTCTAGCTTGAAGGAAAAGAACCCAAAGCAGCCTCCATCTTCTGGGCTGGCTCCCTGCCCCTTCTTCTCATTTGATTGCTTTCAACATTATTCCTGGCACCGCTCAGAGAGATGGGAGAATTGATTCATAGAAGTTTACATAAAAGAGCAAACAAAAGGATTACATTAAGAGTCCGCCCTTTCTCCCCCAACTGATGTTCATTTCAATCAGAAAGGCAGTGCTGGGTCCCTGGTGGCAAATAGGCACCAATTACACAATGATGCCCAATTAGACGCTCCAGGTAGAGTTCTGTTTTGCACTGAATAACTGTTTCTCTTTCCCCGACTTGAGAAATGCCATAGATATGTTCTGGAAGCATCAAGAAGGATATTAAAAGACAGAGTAATTGGCAATTAAAGAGGATCTCTAGACAGATCTTTGCTGTAGGGGCCATATTACCAGGCACAGCAAAGAATCAAATAATTAAAACCATAACTGAGCACATTTACTTACTGTTGTTGTATGAGAGAGTACTTCTTGCATCTGTTTCCTGGGGGGGGGGGGGGAAGAAATCCATGTTTTAGTTCTTCAGGTCTATAGAGAAGCCCACAAGTCTGACAGGCAACTGATCTACCTTTAATGATGAAAGCAAGTTTAAGGAGCTGGCTCTTTCCTATACATGAGTGATCCTGACTGGTCTTGGGACTTGTTCATTTGCAACCTGATACCACCAGGCAGGGCTGTGCCTTCCAACTCTTGTCTCTCAGCCCAGGTGTAAGTTAGAGCTAGGGGGAGGTTGGGAGACGCTAACAATGTAGGCAGGGATACCTTGGAATACATTATCCTGTTCTCTTAAGCAGCTTTGCTTGTTTAAAGCTTGGTAGATAGTAAAACTCTAGAGGAAACCCGGACCAGATATACATCAACAATAAAAAATAGACATTAAAGGGAAGAAAGATAGCAAGGAATATATTCCTTATCAGGAAGCAGGAAGTCACATTACTCAGGAGTCACACAGCTGCTGGGTTGGACACTAGCCATAGTTATGCAAAAAAGGCAGTATTTGCCTACAGAAGCTTCTAATTTCACACAGGGGCAACAACAGTTGCACCCTCTCACGCACTTACATTCTTTTTACTCCAAAAACATACGAATTATAGGTTGCAAGGAGGCTTGGGAAGAACAGAACAGCTTGGGAAGAACAGAAACTTGTTCACTGGATGTGACCCAGTTAAGCTTGATTGGTCCCCTAATTATACACTGCACACACCCACATGTGCACGGGCATGCACTTGTGTGCACACTCATCCTCATTTCTTCCTGACTGAAAGCAGAGGGAACCCTACTCACAGAGGAGTCCTGTGAGTTGTGCCGAGGTAGAGTGAGAAGGAGACAGACAGAAAGCCGACTTTGCAACAGACAGGCTGAGCACCTCTGAGAGCTGGAGGCTCCTCCCTCACCTTTTCTGGAAAGCGTCACTGTCCAGACACGGGCTGTGACTGAACGAGGAGTGGCACTCCACCGGCACGCTCAGGCGGCAGTAGATCATGGTGGCATTGCTGTTCTGTGTGCCGAACGTCTTGTGGATCACCTTGAGGCACGGAGGGCTGTCCATGGTGCCATCGATCCTCACGACCTGGAAATAACATGGTCCTCACCTGACACAGCCTGACTCTGACACATCCCTCCTCCCCTCACTGACTGCTTACGTCAAGGCTTTATGAGAACTACAAAGGTTGTCACGAGTGATAACAAACCATTACACTCATCCTTACGTGGACCGTGCCCTATAAAATATCACACAGATCTGCCTCTGGCTGGGGAAATGAGGGATCTAAATTAGGGATCTAAAAATGCTCACTGGGCTTTCTGCAAGGTCAAGGATGCCAGGCAGGGGGGTAATGCAGTGTTGTATTTGCTGATGCTGACCTTTTAGGAAGGTGACAAGTGGCTAAAGGAGAAAATCTTTCCAGAGGTTTCCCCTGTCAGTGGGCATGAGAACATCTAAGGGAGAAGGCACCAGAAAGCCCAAAGCTCAAGAAGAGACATCAGAGTTTCCTTGGGGGGCACCGTCTCCCACCCAGCGCCTTCCCCACCTTTACCACAGTTACAGCCTGAGCGCAGAAGCTCCTGGAGACTACTCTACATACTGAGGAAATTCCCAGCTCCAGGGCACAAGCGCTGCACGGGATGCACTGGAGGATGAGAGATCAAAACTGGATTTTTGAAGTGTGTGTGTGGGGGGGTGGGGAGGGGTGAGGGGGGGTGGGAGGGAAGAGCAGAGGAAGTAAACAGACTTACAATAATAATTTTGTTATGATCTGGGCATTTCTCCCTGCATTCTAGACAACAGTTCCTATCCTGCGGTCCATGAGTACGCTTACATATTTTTGTGTGGTTTCTATATTTTTCTAAGTGGAGGGTCTCTAGATTCTATCAGTTTGTCAAAGGGGTTCACGACCTCCAAAAAGGTTATGAGCCAGCTTTCTAAAGTAATGGCCAGGTAGGAATCAGCGAAATTAAGCTCTCTACTATTTAAGACGGTGGGGAAAAGCGGAGGATGAAGAATTGATACTTGCTGAATTCAAACTGGGCAGGGAGTGAAGGGGACTTACAGTCTGGGGGAATCAAGCCATTGAATCTAACGCTTCGGTGGAGCTGACTTGTCTGACATCCCATCAGCTCCCGTCCCCCCACTACGCCATGAAAAAACCATGGTGGGGCTGGGAGATACAGAGGCAAGCAGATGTAGAACCAGAATCCGAATCAGTCTCTTTACAATATTTGGCTTCTCTGCCTCTCTGCTCCCCCGACAAGGTGGGAACATCATAATCAACTACTACACCTCCACTTAAAAACCTGGAGACGGTTCTGCAGGAATTAAACAAAGCCTAAAAGACATCGAGTTATGAGCAGAGGAGAACCATGTTTGGAACACATCATCCTGAGCGCAGGTACTGAACTTTTTTAGGAAAACAACATTTAAGGTCTCTGGATACCGTATTGCTATAATACCGGTATAGGAATGTCTGGAGAAAACATTGTGGCCCAAAGGTTTGGGGATGGATCTGCAAGGTGTTTACCACTTGTAAGATGCCACTCAGCTGTCCCAACTAAGGTACCTGCAACGACAGCTCTGAGGGCCAGCGAGGAGGTGACCGGGGTAGGGGCAGCCAGGGTGTGGACTTAGGCAAGCACCACCTGGGGACAAAAGCATCAGCGGGAGTTCAGGGCCTTGGTCCCCCTGGCCTGCCAGGGTCCCCGCAACGTGCAGCATTACCTCTATCTGTGGATGATCCTTGGGCACATTGACAAATGTTGGGAGGCGCTTGCTGAACCACATGGCCACGTCGCGGTTCATGTTGACAGCAAAAGGCTCAAAGCCCTCTTGGAGGCCGCACATGGTATAAAACTTGAAGGTGCTGGCGTCCATCCCGAGATTCATGCGGCCGATCTGAGACAGGCCCAGAGAGCATATGGGCACAAAGCCTGCAGAATGGTGAGAGAGCCCGGTCAGCCCGCAGGACTGTCCTGGGAAGCTGGGAGGAAGCGGAACCTTTGCTTCCTTAACAGCTTTGAGTCTCAGCAGGA